TCTTCAATAAGATCATCGAAGGTGAGCTCATGAATCCCCATTTGGATGAGTTGGAAATGAAAACTCTTTGCATGAGGAAGGGCTTGTTGAATGGCAAACTGCACAGAGGCTCGTTTGGGGATCCATACAAACTCAGCCCACAATTTCTGCTCATGAAGAATCTGGCATGGAATCATACCTGCAAGCTGAACAAGTCGATTTGTTTCCCAATCTGTCAAGAATTGCGGTGGCAAGAAATGAGGGTCCATTTCATGTAAGGCTCCACAACTTGGTGTCACAGTTCCAAATCGTCCTTGAAACACACATTGGTCAAGATCTTGCGTTCTGAGAACTGGGAGCATCAACGAAAGTTCGTCTGGGTCAACTTGGAGTGGCTCGAATGGGATGGTAGGCGAAATCTCCCAAACTTTACACCTCTTTACCACATCATCTTCTGGTGAGTCGTCACCATCATCCATGCGCCTCTTCCTCTGCGCAGCCCCTGGGAAAGCAAGGCAGGCAAAAGCACCATCCTGAATGACAACATTATCCCCGAATCGACCAGTTCTTTGGAAAACTAGCTCAACAATGTCGGAGATGGTGCAAATCCGTGTTTGGAATGGTGAATCCTGGCCCAACAGCAAGTGTGTCCTCCAAACCTGGATACATGCGTGGGCGAACGAAATGGCATTGCCAACCATCCTATGAGCAACGTTGCAACAGCTGGGCAAAATGATGTCTGATCCAAAGCCTAAGGCAAAGGCAGCCTCGAAGGCCGACAAGTACCTAAGCACCGAACCATCTTGCAGGAACCACGAGTGCAGTCCATGTTTCCTCAACAAATGAGACGGCAACGAATGCTGTGAACCATATGATGCCATCAATGATGGTATGACATCATGCTCAGAAATGATTCTACACTTCAAAACCTCATCAGGGGAACTCGGCGGCGATCTCGGTGCAAGTGCTCGTGGCAGTAATGCAAAATCACTTCCAACTAGCAAAGCATCAGCGGTAGGAATCAACTGTTCCATCTCCCAATCAAGCACCTGATCATTATACGCCCGAGATGAAGCTAAAGTGCTTTTGGCGCCACATCCTGGAATGGATTGAGGGAACTTCGCGTTGTTGAGGAACTCCACCAAGGCAAAATCAATTTGCACATGAGCTGGCAGGATAGTAGCTAGCCACCTTTTACGTCTGACTGGTAGCACAGGAAAGACTTCATCGATGCTCTGGTTGGCAATCTTGTATCCACACTGTCGTACCAGCAATTGTATGTCCTTGTAATCTTCGTGAGCTTGAATGCCAACAACATTTTCCAGAGTTAAGGATTTTGCTTGTTGCTTGCACGCTTTACGAATGCATGTTTCCATGAGCTGTCCGTTGTGATCATCAAGGCCCAACCGAAGGCCTGAACTGCTCCAGCTCTGGCAAGGAGGCGATGCGAAGAAGTGGGACACTTTCAGCCAAGAAAGAAATTATGGCCCACACTTTCGAGTCCTCAATGTCACCATGGATGATGACTTTCTTTGGCATCTCATTAGCTTTGATCTTGTCAATCATTTGGCATGGACTAAGCACTGGCAGCAATGACGATCTGGAGTGGCACAGGGCAGTGTCCCAGTCTTTCTCGACAAAGACTGAGGCTTCCAAACCAAACTCAGCAAGTGCACGATTCCATCCAGCAAGTCCGACCAGTAGCAGTGGATGATGATGGTTACTAAAGGCCTCTCTCTAAAATAGTGATGATTGTTTACTGTCTGTTAATTGCAGGTAATAGGACAACCCCAAACAGCACATGTCATTTCTTGTTCTTCCTTCTGCACATGATCCCCCCCAGCTGCTATGTCTCTGCTTCCACAAAAGAAACACACCAACACGTCAAACAACGCACAACTTCTCGTTCTCCGGATACCCCTCGGAGCTCCCAACGCAACGCATCCGCCTCGGCGGCAACGCATCGGCTCGGCGGCCCGGGTCCTGGTCTCGGCCAGCTTGGAGGATCGCCTCGAGATGGGCCTCACTGAGCTCTTCATCCCGAAGCCACCCTGCACGGCTGCGGCTGCATGGCTTGCGGTTGCGACCCGAGGAAAGCGGGGCGCCGGAGGCCCCTGGGGTTTTCCAAGAAACAAGATGAAACAGCCAAGTACCCAGCCAAGAAAAGCACACGGTAGACCTATAGAGAGCTCCTGGTTGACATTGGGTGTACTGGGTCTTTGATGTACCTCTACAATATTCGATAACGAACAACTCCAGTGCATCGTGCATGCTGCATGCTGCTTCGAGAGGGAAGAACCTGGATCCAAGACGAGCGAACCGATGTTTCCTCACACTTAGCAGCGCTTCCAAAAAGCAATTGAAACACATTGAAACAACACAAAACAAACACAACATCTTTCAACCAAAGTGGCTGGTGAGTTGGACAACTCGCCCACCAACCCACCACCACGTCCGACCGTTTGCTGACGGATCGCCAAGCACCGCACCGCACCGGGCCACTTCGCCATTGGGGACCGGTACTCAGGGGTCATGGTACTTACACTTCCATCCCTTAGGCCATCGGTCTTTAGGCAACCTATTTGTAACCCTGGGAAACAGAAACTAACAGAAGTCCCAACCTTTGTAATGCAACAAAGGATGACCGCCTTGTCACCCAACCGTTTTTGGGGCTTGTGACATCTTGTAACCTGCTTGTCCAGTGGTCATGGGAAGTCCTGGGAAAGATCATGCATTTGCTTGACTGGTCCCGAACGTACGTCGATCTATCGCCTTGAAGCTCCTCTTCCAACTTCGCAGCAAACTCCTGGCAATGAGCGCAGCACCACGTGGCACCTTGTACTTTGTACGTACTCAAATAGCGCTGCACAAACATGGAGCTCGAGAAAAGGTCCCAAGAAAGCATCATATGATGCTGGACCTTGAAACATGACTGCAAGTGGAGCACAATCCTTGGGATAGCCACTTAATGAAGTATATTTCATGTGTATATTCTTACTGTATAATGTTTATACAATTTTATATACACAAAACATGTCTGAGTGGGATTGCTCTTATTTCTGAAGTGCAACCTTGAGTCTGATCCATCTTCAAAACTCTATGCAAACGTCCAATGCAAGAACAATCGGGCCCATCATCCTTGTGAAGAGCAGTATAGTGCAAAGAATGCTCTTCCTCGCGACAAGGTCAGGCTGAGGTGCAATTCTGTTGACCGGAAACATGGGTCATGGGCCTTGCTTGGCCTTGCTGAAAAGCAGTGATGTAAACCACCAGGTGCAAGCAAAATAGCAAATCAGCAAACACATCGAAAGCGAACAAAGGCTTCTGATATCATTTGAGCTTGCATTCTTGCCAAAGACTTCTGCTAATGCCAATGTTTCGGAAGTTCAGTGGGTTGTACTCGCCAAAGCACCTGGTAATCGTCAAAGTAGCCGCTGTTCTCCCTGAAAAAGTTCTCCAGGTAGCTGCCAAAGCCCTGGCAAGTGACAAGTGAGCCACTTCCTCGACCCAAACATGGGCCTTCTAAAAGAACGATTGCTGTGCCGAAAGCACAGCATCCACTCCTAGGAAAATGCACATCATTATTCTGGAGTCACTTTGACTGTTGCAAAAGCAACATTCTACAATTCGTGAGGAAGTTTGGTCAAGGCTCAAAACACCATATTCTCCACAATTGGAAAAGACCACAGACTCCAATGGTGAACGCTCACTGATATTGAAACGGCCTAGGCTCACCTTCAATATGTTAGCTTGACAGGTCCAAGGTAGATCCGGAAAAATTCGACCGTGTTCCGCAATCGTTCCGCTGCCGAAGAAAAACTGAGAGCCAAGTTCTGATCATTGAAAGACCGCCTCGTCAGAGAGCAGCCAAGTTCTGAGCCGTTGGGCTAATGATCTCAACCTCTCATCCTGCGGTGCCATCTGGCGGCGCCGTGCTACAGGGGTCGAAACTGGCAGCGCCGACTGGCTCAAAAGGTTGTTAGAAAAGTAGAGGTTGATGGCCTGATCTCCCAGAATCTGTTGTTAGACGTGGATGCCGTCAACTGAAACCACTTACAACATCTTACAACAACATCAAGGACGATCTTGAATTGATCCAGTGTGGACTACTTATTAGGGTTCTTCGGATGTGGCGGCGATGCATGCTTGTGGTGCATTCACGAGCAAGAAGCAGCAATAGTAGATAAAGCACCAAAACTAGAATTAGGGCGGCGGTTGTGGTCTCTTCCTCCTCTTCTGTTTCTTCGTTTTCCTCCTTGTTGGAGGTGGGTGTCAGGATCAAAGTGTCTAGCGTGCTCATGTCATCATCCACCGCCTTGAGGATTATATAACAAAACACTCAAATCCCGATGATTCTTTTGGGGCCGGTGGATATACAGTACCTGTCTCACGTAGGGTCCTCGTAGTCCGCCATGGCCAACGGTCGGTTTACATAGTCTCTGACGCTGGGCTGGTGGCTGACAAGAAGTCAGTCAGTTTGCTTGCTGTGATAAACTTACATAGACTTGCTGTGCACATGGCAGGAAAGAATCAGATTCACCGTGATTCACCCACATTCCTATACTATATATGTTCATTTCAAGGAAGAATCAGGAATGAGGCTTCTTATGTAGACTTCACCAATGGGACCTCTCGAGTACAGGGCCAAATGTGCTTTTTTGCAATGTTTTGCACTTATATAGTTTTTGCACATCCTGATGGATCCTTTTGTGATTAAGCACTCCATGTGCCGAGCACCCGATCGAGTCTTGATGGGCCTTGAGCCATGTCGGCAGGCGATGGATCTATGAGCCGATAAAAAGCCAGCAAACGCAAATCAATGTTCACATGAGGAAAAGGCGGTGCCTCCCTTTATAAGAGGTCATGAACTGCCAATTGGATCACCTGTGAATTCAACGTGATATACTGTAAAACCAATTTTGTTTCATCTCAAGCTCTTGCCATTTGAGATCGCAATCTTCGTCCTAATCCGCGGCATATGCCGCCAGGTCCAACCCCCCTTCGTGAACTGGAGACCGGACCGGATGCGACTGGAGACCGAGGCGCCTGTGGAGGCGTGACTTCAGTGAAGTGAGTTGGAGTGACTTGGCATCATGGGATGCTTGAAGACTACTCTGATATCCAAGAGATGGAACATCTCCAGCTGTTGACAAAGGCTGTTCTTCTGGGAAGGTTCGGAAACATCATTAGATGTTCCGGAAGATCTAGAACATCTATCGCCTGCAAATCTCCAGCAAATCCAACGTAAGACGCAATGCGCAAATTGTGGTAGTTCCAATGGGTGCTTAGGCATTCTTAACAAGAAGACCAGCATCAAGGCTCAACAGTCCGAATATCTTGAGCCACTTAACTCTGTGATTGGCCTTTTGTTCGTCCCCACTGTGCCTATCCTGACCCCAAAGACAACATGCACTGCTGAAACAGCTATGCGATCTGTGATGGAGAAACGCTCCGAAGCTTTGAATGGAAAAGCAACGTCATCCAAATCCCATACATGTTTTGGGGACTTCCTCTTTTGCAGTATCCGGGCGGTCACTCAACAACCCACGAGAGCCATGGTCTAAATTCCCAGCTCCTGTGAACTCTGTGCCGCTCCCCCGTTTCGGTCATCCCTTCGTAACCCAAACCCCACCAGCTGGCCCAATCGGCCTGCTCAAGTTGTCGAAGCCTGGCATTTTACCGTTGGAACTCGCGTGTGGTTGGGGTTCCTCTTTCTGTCTCAGTCCTGAGGTTGAGGTGACATGATACGGTGATGATATGGTGGTTGAGGGTTGAGGGTTGAGTTGATCGAAATAAAACTTGAAAAAAACAAACGACAACAATCAAATCGGTTTAGGTTTGGGCTCTCCAAGCACATCAGTTTCCTGTGGATGATCATGTTCTGCTGAAACGACGGACAAAACCGGTCTTTGGACACCAACAAAAGGTTCTTGGCAAGCAAGGAGGCCCTTGGGATGCTCTTTGGATGGGGGCATCAAATTCAAAAAAAAACGTACACGGACATTTGTCATACGTACATAGTTGGGGGCCGCCCTGCCAAGTAAACCCCCTTTCCAAGACCATACCCTCTGCTGTCCATGGCTTTTCGACCTCACTTTCCACATCCTGCCACCCTCTGACCCAGCTTACCCATGCTGGAATCATGACAGGCTTACTGATCTCGGAGTTGCTCCAATTCGTTCTTCAGCTTCCCCTGTCACGTGAGTGCGGCAGGATGACTGCTTGGTGTCTTGATGAAAGACTCTACAACTATATATATTATAACTATGAACAGTGAATCCCAAAGTAGGCAACCCACTACTGTAAAACGAGGATGCAAAAGGCATAGCTGTGTTTGTACACCAAAAAAAGAAATAGCCAGAATTGGACAAGAACCCGAAGCCAACGCGACACAAACAGTACACAGTGACAGTATCATTCTATAAATTCAACTCTAAACGTGCCAGGAGTTCATTTTCCTGAGACAATCTCGTTGCTTCTCTGCAGATTTCGGCATGAGCTACCCTCAGCAGAACGCGCAAAACGCTCGAAACTGTAAAGTACGCACTTGTTTTTCTTCTGGCAAAAGGAACGCCCTACCAGGCAGCCAAACATGACATGGCCGAACATATATATAACTGGCAAGCTTTTGTGATGATATCTCTCAGTTCACCCAACGTTTGCACAGCACTTCCCGCCAACGAAGATCAAAGTGGACACCCCCTGCTTGGTAGTCGGAACATGGTCTTTCCACGGTGCACTTCCATCCACTTCCATGTTCGTAGGAGGCAGGAGGGTATTTTGATGCCGATCACCTTGGACAGGTCAGAATGTTTGAAGAGCCTTCACGCACGACGACAGCGATTGTCTCTGTTCGGAGCCCCTGCTCCTTCTCATGCAGCTCGTCCTGCAGCTCGTGGTTTTGCCTTGAGGATCTGGGCGAGCAACGAGAGATCTACAGTGTCTCTGACATCGAATCCAAATCGGACAACATTTAGAACCTCACTGTATCTAGAACATGCTGGAACTGAGAAAACAAAACTCTTTACAGAAATCACATTAAGATTGAAAAGAGATGAAAAGAGTCTATAGAGTCTATACCTCTTCCTTCTGAGCTTTCATTTCATCAACACTCAACACCTGGATTCCCTTTTGATGTCCAAAACAACTGTCACAGGACTCTGTAGTCTAATGCTCCATTGCAGTTCTCGGTGCGAAAAGCTTGCAAGTTGCTGGTGCAACACCTCACCAGCTGACCTTGAGTCCCAATAATTTGTTCTTGACTGGGAGGAGTTGCTCTAGCTTGGAGAAGTACTGTCCCCAAACAAGTCTTTGCAGACCACAGGCAGGTGGAAGAACATCATTTTTGGTGAGTGGGAACCCTTAGGAGTTGAGAGAGATTTCACTGGCCACCCACAAGTTGTACACAAAAAGGAGTAACACAGGTTCCAACAGTCAAAATGATTTGCTTGTTATACTCTGACGCATGGGGGTACTGGGTACACACATCAAAGCAAAATCAACGTTCGCAAATAAAATACAACCAAGCCTGAGTTGATATGAGAACCAGGCACTTGTCAAATATCCACAATAACTCAAGTGAATTACGACTCACACGGTCTTGGAACCATCCTTGATATGCTTAATTGATTTTTTTTGTGTCTCCTCCCTTCAAGTCCATTCCCAGCCTTTGCAACGCTTGCACCTCCGCATCCTGCGCAGCACTGCGTCGCGTCCGCCAGCGTCCGATCGGGGGGTCGTGACTGAAAGTCCGATGGCCATTGAGACATTGAAGTGATACTCGGGAATCCATGGTTTTGTTCACATTTGACTCGAAAAGCTTCCAACAAAAATGCTGCTGCATGGAACTGACTCAATGCTCCATCTTGTACTTGCATGTCGCCTTTGCTCTCAGCAGCAGTCTTGATGAGATGCATTTTTGTGTAGACTGGAGTTGCTTCCAGCTCTCAGGCACAAAGCCACCGATAAAGCCATTAAATGTCAAACATGTATGGAGCAATCCAACGTGCCAGTACGACCCTTGTTAATGGGGTGAGAGATTTGGCGTTATATTCTATCGTATCTATCTGAGAATGACGGCAAACTCAGGCCTAAAACCACAGCACTGGGTACCAAGCCTTTTCATGCTTCCGTTCACTGCCCAGCATGTCATGAATCACCCGCCCTGGCGCTCACGCCTTCTGCCGCATCTGTTGGAGCATCTCCTGAGTAGTCACAAATCTGAAGAGGCTCGTCTGGTGTTCAGCGCCCTGCGAAGTGTCCGGGGTCCCTTTAAAGGTTCAGTGTCCGGTTAATCGACCGGGTGGCCAGGCATGGCCGCGGCCATACCAAGTCTTTGAGTAGAAAGAGTGTGAGTCAGAGGAAGGAGATGACCAAAAATGCAAAAAAGAATACCGTTACCTCAAAGCACCTCTTTTTTGCCTGCTTTCATGACCAGCAAGGCTGTTAGCATAGCAGCATGCAACTCTTACAGAACTGTTGAGCAGGACACTATGCAAGGACCATGTATTTGGGTTCTTGGATGTCGTTCCTGAAAAAGTAAAACACAAACCCGTTGACCCGTTGACATGTTTCTGGGTTCCTTCTCGTTCTGAACAAATTGACTCTGCAACTTCACTCTTCTCCATTCTTATAGGATCCAAATAAGCTGCAACTGTACTTCACAAGCACTATATGGTCAAACATCAACAATTAAAGCCTCACACTTTCCAGCTGAAAGCTCCCAAGTTGTGAACTCACCCTCTTGAAACTACATCCATTATGTCAATGTAAGAATACAAAACAATCACGTAAAACTGGATGAAAAGATACAAACCCCAGTTCCCAAGTGTGTCTCCAGCTACATTGCAACCCTCCTTTCCCTTCCGCCAGGCCACTGGGTCGGCTTCCTTCTTTTCGGCCTAGGCCCCAAAAAGGATCGCGTGGGACCGCGGGACGGAGCGAGCGATACCGAGCGCTTTGGGTCTGTTGTTTTGGGAATTCACCTGGATGGCACGCCAGGTACGCTGATTTTTAAGATGATCTTTACCCTAGTGCAAATAGTCTACAAATGTCTACAGTATCAGTTTCTAGATTGTGTTTTGTGGAAGGTGACATCTTGTCGAAGGATTGAGCGGATTTGGACCGGTGCAATTAAGAAGGTTAAAGTGGAAGAGTGAAACACGGGAAATCGTGTTTTCAAGAATGATTTGACCAGAAATGCTGAAGAAAACATGTTTATGTGTGACACTCTGTGTGTGTATGTGGAGGTTGGACATTGTTTTGACACCTGAATGTGCAAAAGCACCGTACCAAGCCACACAAAATACATTGAACTTGCTTTGGTGTGCGCGTGCAAGGAGACATCCTACAACCGCATCAATGACGGACGCAACGGTTGCAGGATTTGCCATTGGTTTCCAGATTCCGCATGCCACATGTGCATACCATGGGTCCCAGCAAAATGCAGCCTTTAAAACCTGACAGTAACTTATTGGTGAGGTCATTACGGTAGTTACATGTGTGTCTCCAACCGTTCGTGAAGTTGCACCACAAATACATTTCAACACGCCTTTCATTTGCATATTATTCTTTGGGGGGTGCCTTCTCTCGATGGAGATTGGGGATTACCACCAACATGCCACAAAGAAACATGGCTGGTCATCAAATGTGAAACACGACTGCGGACGTGTTGTATCTCCGTCAAATTGTGTGGCTAAATCATCTGTCAGGGCAAAATGTTCAGGTGGTTTACCAAATACCTCAAATGTAGAAACATTTACGTGTTGTCTGGATTGAAATACACAAAACATGCAGCTCCATCTTCCCATACGGCTGCCTTTGCTTCCCTCTCACAACAAGATGCCTCTGCAGGTTGTTGTCCAAGCCGCACGCTGCAGCTACCTCAGCAGCCCATTGTGCCACCCAGCCGATTCCTCCCAAATCACGCAGCCAAAGCCCCTCAAAAACCATTGTGTTTGCAACTTCTCTTGCATCAAGCTGGTTTTCAGCCACAACCTGGGGTAGCAGGGCTACAAGGAAGTCTGAAGTCTTGATACATCATGTGTCACATTTATATGTCGTCATGAGTGTCTTGTGCACCCCAATACTAGTAATTAGTGCCTATCAGTCTATAATGGAGCACTCGTCTTCATGAATAGTTGCTCGTCCCCACTTGGTTACTTTGCTCTATGGGTACTTCGCTCCCATTCTTTGTTTTCAGCTTACTTACGCGCTTTATCAAGTGATTTCCACCATTACAGTATGTTTGTATCTCTTTCAATGGAGGAGTAGCCAATGAATAGCGGCTATGCAATTGATCCATCATATAGATAATGAAAATAAATAAAGCACACTTCACAAACAACATGTAATTAGTGTTAACTATACAATTATATAGGATTGCTATAATTATGGAAGAACTATAGAAAAGGAGGAAAACACACACTTAATTGCTATGTCCAAACTTGGAACACAAACTATATACAGTAACAGAAGCAACACCAAAGCACCAAACATCACAAGGGGGGAAGGGCAAAATTGCTGCCCCCTCCACTCAAGGTATCCAAGATGTGGGTCATGACATGTTTGGTTTACGGGTCCTCACATGCGTGTTCTTTATCTTTCTACTGCTTTTCTTTGTGGGTGTGTGGGTCCTTGTTTTGTTTGAACAATCTTGTCTTCTTGGATCATGACATGTTGTCATGTTTCTTTTGTCTTTGGAATTTGTGATTATTTTTGTCTTCTTTTGTCTTTGACTTTTGCAAGCATTTTGCAGCAGGCAATCTCAAAGCCATGGACCAAGAGCAGGTCTGAAACGCTTAACAAAATGCCCTCTCAGGATGTCCCTCTTCCATCCTTGCTCTCCCTACTCTTCATGCAACATCATGCACTACTCAATGGAATGGACCTGAGATGGTCAAAATTGCCTCGTTAAACCAAAAGACCACCGGCTGGGGCTTCCGGACTCCCACTCTTCAGATCCATGGCCTGTCGAGAGCGTTCGTCACCGGCATCTCGCCGTGCCACCGCCCAGCGAAGCCGGGTAGGAGACACCGGGTCGTTTGATGCCGTGGTGTCAGAAGCCGATGTCGGGGGAAAAGGAATGATGGAAAGGATTGGGGTGATTAGACCGTGAAGGTGCATCCGATCCTGGCACTTCTATTTTGTACCCACCCAAGCACCTCGGTCTTCCCTCGACCAGCCAGCCTCCAATCTGCGGTGGCACTTGCTGTACTGGTCGTAGAGTGCTAGGAGGCCCTAGCAAAAGCAAACATGGAGTCACCAACGGACGGCGACAGCTGGGAAAATGGAATGGTATGTGACTATTGAAAGACACCTGCTTTGGCAACTACGACAGCAACATGACTGACCAACAAGAGCAAGACTCTAGACTCTAGAATAGTAACCATTCTACCACCACTCTGGTAGAAAGTCACTCACCAAACAAGCAAATTTCAGGCGGCCTCAGCCAAATGAACTACAATAAAAGGGTCAGGGTGTAAGATGGTGTAAGCACGTGTCAATTCCCCGCACCCCAACCTGAACCCCCAACTACCTAATGGATGCTGCTAGTGTCGGGAAGCAGTACCTCCAAACATTATCCAAAGATTAAAAAATATATAGTTAAGACGACCGTTATATATATATATACAACTATTACTAATTACCATCAACTACCCACATCAACCCACCCACCAAACACGGCGTTGTTAACTCATTGACAACCCGTCAGCATCGGCAAAACAGAAGTAGCAAACGTTGACCTCCCACGCCTGATACGGCTCATCACGGCGTTTGGCCTGCTCCAAGAGGTCAATGCCTCGGTGCTTCTCAAGCCAAGGCAGGACACACACACACACATCTTGTGAAACAAGAGCTTTGAAAACTGTTACCGGCGACCCCCATGAGGTGTGTATAACTCCCGCCTTAGCGCTTAAGGAGTGTTTTTTGGCCACCCCTTGTGGGTCCTGGTGTGTAGTTCAACATCATTGTCATCGGCCGTGTGAGGAGAAGCTCGGACGAAGAAGGGTCAAGTTTCCTCCAACTCAGGAGCACACTGAAAAAGAAACCCTGGCAATTGGCATTTCTTGTCTATCTCATACTTGGGAGAGCCTAACAAACAACTAGGTGCCAACCAAATCCAGGGTCTGACTCACGTCCAAGTCTGAAGAGACGCATTGTTTAAATTTTACAATAGTTCACCCTCAGATACATTATATATCACAAACAAATACAAACAACATACCACCTGGTCGCCCAACACTCTGAAATCCACCTGGTTGTGCTCCCACAGACGCTCCGCCACCGCTATTCTGAGATTCCTGGCGCCAGCGACTAGTGCTGCTGGCGCTGTCTGAGCCTCCTGGCAAGTGTGAGTCTCCAAACCCAAAGACCTGGACCTGGAACTTTTGAAAGGTAGAGCGGATGTTGTGGTATCTCAACTTAAGCATCTGAGTTAGACACCCCTGTTCTTCCGATCTGGCCAATTACAGATCCCCTACGTCCCCTAGCCACACAAGGTGTGTCGTGGAAGCCAAGTCAGTCCCTTCTGGCACAGAATGCGAGGCATAGCAAACTTTCCTCTTTAAAGCTAGCACATCACATAAACTGAAGTGGCAGCCGGAAAATGCCGGAATAACAAATCAGCTAAAGCACCGCTCATCGTGACCATGGTGCTTTATCAGTGTGGGGGGGTAGTTCTTCCGGTCAAGCTCAGTGCTACTCTCCCAGCAGCTCCGGGCGCAGAACCTGGACTTCTGACACTTCGTGGGGGATCAGGTTCCACCTGCTCCTGCGGAAATGCACGATCGTGTATCTGACAGGCCAAAGTCTGGAAGGAAACCCATCAGGCCTGGTGTCAGGCCTCCTGCGTCCCTTGTTATGTTTCTTTGGCCTGTGGTCTATCGCATTCATGTTTGGAAAACCCTTGACCATCCTTGACCCAACATGGATTGCTTTCCAGCAAGGCATCATGGAATAGACCCGCGTTCCTGCTAATGCTTTGAGGAGCGCCTGACTTCCGTGTGTGAATGATGGGTCTTCTCAAGCCTCCAACGTGTCATCAAGAACCGTGTCTCAGGCGTGGCTTGGTGTAACCTGTCGTGGCTCTCTCCTATTCAAGTGTTGCTTGTTCTCTCGTTTGCTTTGTTTTACCATGTTGTGTGTGTGTTTTGCTTTTAGTAACAACCAGCTCCCAGCAGTCCTCAACAGCTTCAGGAGACTTGACGATGTTCTCAACTTCAGCTTCACGAGCTTCGTCAGATTCGCCCTGCTCACTGGGCTCCACCTGGACTGACAGAGACTGGGCTCCACCATCAGTGTTGAGAACTGGAACTATCTGTGGAGTAAAGCCCCAATTGCTGGCATTTTCTAGACCAATCAGATCAATCGGTCAAAGCTTCACAAGGCTTCACTCATGTTCTATCTCCAAGAGGGCAATCTCCAAACACCATGGTTTCCCAGGTCACATTGAAACAAACTGGACGCTTACAGGATTCTTCCAACGAATCACAGTCTGTAGACCTAGTAGACCCCCAGACTCAACACTTCGGCTGCAGAACAGCTGCAGCCCTGATTTCTGAAGCCACTATCATCTGCCACCTGCACGACCTCCCTCTGGACCCACTCCGCTTTCGCCTCCTCGGTCTCTCCGGTGTCCTCCATGAAATCATCGCCACCGCTCCACCGAAGCGATGGCGAACACGCGGAATTCGGACGCAGGGCGCGCGCGCTTTCGCACGGACGAGGCAAAGTGTAGATCTGCCGAGGACCGCCGTGCTGCACTGGTGGGGGTCGGTGGGGTCGAGGGTGTGGGAACTTCGGTTGGGCTGGGTTCCGTAGGGCTGACGTGAGCTGAAACAAGCTGAAGTGAGCTATTTAAACGAAAGGAGTCCACCAACATTCCACCAACTGGAAAAAACAAAGGGGCAGTGAGTTGCGGCAAGAGTTTGCACATTGGATTAATATTTACTGTGTACGATGCGTTGACTTCATGTTCTGCATGTTGATGCTCCCTATTTCCTGGCTCCTGCATTGTCTTGACAACACATAGCAATTGACAGCTATAGTCAATTAGAGAGGTCAGATCAGGGTAACGTTCAGATTTAACATGTACCAACAGGTTACTACTGATCCGCCAGTGATGAAAAAGCAAACGTAAACACAGAGTTTTCGTCGATGATGCACTTCTTCAAAAATGTCTGCTGTCACCTTGCTCCCTTGCAATTCTCTACTGAGGTCGTCTCATATGCTACTGAGCCGAAAAAGGCTGACAGTCTGAAACATTGCCATCAGGCTTCCAAATGCTGACCAAAGGGCCCTTCAGTGGTGTCTGTCTTCTACACATTGGCCATGCTGCCGGGTGCCTGTTATTGAGTCAAGGACCAAAAAATCCAAACCCAGTCAGGACATATGGAACCACCTTTCTCTTAAACTTGGACCCAAACATTAGGTTCCAAGATCATGTTCCTCTACAAAGCCATTCCTTTTGGGATCCATGTTCAGCATGCCCATCCTCCACCGTCGCCATGTATTTCGTCTCTTTCTTCCATCCACGACTATGGCGGTTGGGTCCGCTTCATTGGGACTTGGCCGCCTTGACCTTGGCCACTTTGGCTGCCTTGGCGGAGGAGCTGGTCTCTGCCTTGGTGCAAAGCCACGGGGACATGGGAGCTGAGGATGCAGGAGCATCCGAGGCTGCAGGACCATGCTATGAAGCAACAACACTGCGTTTGCCAAGCCACATCAAGTCCCTCGAATTCTTCCCACCCACTGTTGACAGTAGCTTTCCCCATTCAGGTCACACATGTCTTCACGCTGCCCAAGTGTTGCACAAACACTTGGCTTTGCCAATTTACCAATTACTGTATAATATAAATAAACTAAATGTGATAGCCAAACACAAACACATGCAGTAGGTATACTAAAGTAATCTACGGAATCTACGGTATAGGACAAAGGACAAAACCAAAAATACAGAAACAGAACGTGTTGAGCTACCTGTCTCCACCTACTCTGATTCATCCGAGTCGCATCATCTGCAGGTGCATCCGTGGGGAGGGTGCAAGTGACAACTGCCACACCGTGGAAGAAGGCGTCTTCATAGGCACAATCATCCACCTGCCAAGGCAGTTTGAGTTTTCTTTTTTTTCCTGCTCTTGCTGCACAAATGTTTCGGGGCCCCATCCTGCAAAGGAGTACACGGCCTATAGAGTGAATAAGAAAGTGTTAGAAGTTGGAAAGAACATCGTCAAATCCAAGGGTTACAGTGGTTTCTTAGATGGCACAAGACCAGGACTGAAGATCTCCAATATATTGGCAACCTTGGGATTGTGCAATCTACCCTAAAACCGCTGTAAATGATCGAGGTTCATGTGAGTCTTTGGAAAGTTATGATGACACCGGTGGTTGGAGCTCACGGTGTGTCGCACCGTTTTTACACAATGTTTAAAGCTTTCAACAACTTGCATTAATTGCTCTTGATCCGAACATGTGCTGCTCCGATGTTGCATACATCTCCACATCGTGGGCACAGCATCTCATCTACCAGTACAATCCAATATATAAACACATGGAATGCTTTTGCAAAGACCGCCGGACCCCCATTCCCGCAGCAGAATCGCTTCGCCGCGGTCGATTGACAGCTGTCGCACCTGCTCGGAGATCTTGCTGTCGATGATCAGCTGTCCCAACTGAGCCGCTTGGTCTTGACGGCCCACGAACGACCCGAGTTGCGAACCCAAATGTGGGCCTGGCATGGCCTGGCCTGCCTGGTTTGCTTTGGATTGGAACACGAGGACTTCCTCCAAGAGGGTGGTTGGTCAATGTCTATGAGACTATGACTACAACAAATTAATGTTTGTTTTGGGAGATATCAAAACACATTGTTCATCATTGTTCAGTTTCCCTACCTACCATCTGGAGAGCTGGAGCCCTGGAGTCCAAAACATTTCCATGTCATAGGTCATGGACTGGTTGGTGAAGCATTCAGTCAGTTCGAGGCGCTGACTAAGCAGGGGTGTCTGCATCCAATGGGTCTCCTATACTGGGGGTGCTAGTGATAGTGACCACCTCATGTCGACCAGATTCGACCAGAACAAACTTACGCTGTTGATCTTTCTCCCAAACCTGGAAAAACATATTTATGTATGATTTGTGTGTATGCAAACATATATACATATATAATGCAGTGCCGCTCCTCTAGGCCCTAGACTCATGTTTTGTCGAGCCAACCGGTGTGTGAGTTGGTGCAGACAAGTCGTCATCCTTCTCATCAAAGTTGTGAAGTTTCAGCGCTCACACACTTGAATTATGCCAAAAACAGAGAGAGAGAGTGAGAGGGGAGTAAAATGCAGAAACGAGTGCATGTGAAGTTGCACATGCTTGAACTACAGCTGATTCAAAACTTGTTTGCATTGATTCCCTGTTGAATTTCAACCTGTGCTGAGCTGTCCTGGGTCCCTGGACTGGTTGACTCCACAGCTGCGCAGTGACGTTTTGGTTCGACACAATGGTCTTGACCTCAAGACTCTCTTGTTCCAAACTGGTTGATTGTGCACCACCATGATTCTTTCACTGGCATGTCTGTAGGGAATTCGACATGTTACCGAGATGAACAGCCATCAATCAATTATCTATAACAGCCAATCAATCATTCTACAAGTCTCTGTCCTGGCGAAACGGACTGATCTGGAGCAAATGCTACACTGATCTGCATCCGCCTCGCATGTCTGAGAGATCAGCCTTGTCCTTGTCTGGGATAGCAACACCGGTGCTGTACCTGTCAGTGCGATCACAAACGACACGCCACCTCTGCCTGCTGTCGGTAGCTATGGACAGAGTTTTCTCAAGTCTTCCCTGCAGCAGCAAGCGGACATCCCTTGTGTTTTTGTTCACCCTTGCCATTGACTTGAGTAAGTCTAGGGGAGTAAAACGTCACCCTGGTGGCAAATCTCTGTCAAAATTCGTTAAGATTCTGTGGATATTCCTCCCACTTTCAGACGCAAGTCAGATTGATTGGTTCTTGCTTCCTGAACTCTAAGGGCAACCCCAAAGGTCAGCGGGTCAGGGCATTTCTTTAAGAAAGCTCAAGCTGGGGTCATGGCAAAAGTTGTACTGTAATCCTTGGGCCCTTAGGGAATCGAACAGCTTATCGCATGCCTAGAACCTGAGTGACCTCTGTTTTGGAGTTTTTACCAACCACTCAAAATACTTCCTTTTGCCATGCTATCAAGACATCACTCAAGTGGGTTCTACTATGTTCTGACCTCTCCAACGATCCAAAACAGTCGCTCCCACTGGGGAGGCCGGGCTCTTCAGTGCAAGGATTCCTGGCGCTTTGTGCAGCATTCCATGGAAGTCTAGGACTGGTTTGCAAAGAAGTAAATGAAGAAAGAACAAGACATGATTGTATGTTGCATCCATTCATGATTCAATGTCGGACATTAGATACCAGTATATATGTATGCATATGTCATTAAAGGTCGCTGTTTTTTTTCTGTTTACAACACTAATTATTTATAAAATATAACACATGATGTGACACCAGCCACCGAATATGCTGCAACAATAACATATATAATTAATTGGATTGTTGTTGCACAAGTATCTGAGTCTATTCATTCTTGCATTGCACAACAAATACAGGTGTACACAGCCAACTTCCCCAACTTCCCTTGTTGGGGTCCGTGCCTGCCCGGTTTGATGTTCTTGCTCACATTCCCCAAGCCGGACACCGCGATGAACCTCTTCGCTCTACCGTTGTAACCGTACGTCGAACGAAGACTTGGGCAGCGGTAGGCTAGCACAACACGAGGCCATAGTAGGCCATATTCAAAACAAGTAGTACACTGGAAAGCTCACATCATCTGTGTCTGAGCTAGGAAGTTGAATTGGATCCTCTTTTGGTAGTGTGTTTGTCAATCGTCATTTAGCTATCCCAAGTCAGCCATGAAATGTGGAACTTCGCAGAACTGTGACGAACTGCAAATGACAGCGTACAGTACCCAAACAATCCAGGTATGTCATATGCGCAATATATTGTTGGTGATTTCAAAGTGATAGATTCAATCTGAGACACATGTCACGGCAAGTCTCTCCTGATCCCTTTGCCCGCCCTCTATTGGAACAAGCAGCTCTATTCGCTCGATATCGTTTCCCACAGCTTCATCGTAGTCAGTCTGCACCTCATCAAATAGCTACAGCCAGCACAACATCAAAAGAAAGGATCGACTAGAATGCACACCCCTGGGTATCATTTTTGGAGCCACATGCAAATAGACACAACATGGCAACGCTCTTGAATAGCTGCATCAATGCTTAATTTAAATCGTTTCTGGCTAGATCACGTAAAGAAATGCATTCTACACAGAATTTAGCCAACAGGATCCTGTACTGTTGGTTTTGATATGTTTTGATCATGGCATTCTGACTCTTGTTCTCATCAATTGCATTTGCTTCTGATCAGCTGTGCACCGAATAAGCTAACCCAATTATCAATAGGTCAATATATAAGTCCATTATCAATCTGGACGAGAAGTATATGACAGTATACAGTATACAATGCAATTGTGTTTGACCCTCTTAACTTCATAACGCGTACATCTCGTCAGTCCAACAACGTTGTAAGTCCTCCACGACTGAGAAGTTCAAAAGACACGTCCTTGGTCCAAGCTTGACGCGTTCTGGCCGAAACATGCGAGAACTGGGTCTGCCAGGCTCAGGCGGGACATGAAAAAGCTGTAGGACTGCCGCGAAAATGGGTCATTTCAAGTTGATA